GGGGGGGGGAGTGCGTGCAGACACCAGGGAATTAGAGCGGTTTGGAAGACATTTTCCTGGCTGCTGGATGGTTTCTGCTGGCGGCCAGCAGGTACGCACCACAGGCGGGATTCTTGGAGGGCCTGGCGCCCTCTGTGTGGTTGGCAGTAGGAAGGCGACGTGGGCACTTGAGCCAGGAGGCACTGAGGACTGACGGGTAGTCCTGGCCTGGGAGCGGGAGGGAGAGGAGACACTGGGCCTGGGAGATGGATCTCCCGGGAGGAAGGACTCCAGGGCAGAGCTTGGAGTGTCGCGTAGTCAGCAGCCCAGGGACGGGGTTAGAGGCGGGCGGGGCTGAGAGGAGGCCCCAGGCCCTTGGCACTGGAGGCCCTGCTGGCCTCACTCCCACTCGGGAAGGAGCGGTCAGCACAGAGGTTCCTGAGGGGGCGGGGCCGCCCGTTCCCGTCATCTGTGCACAACTGCCCCGGAGGCTGCTGGGTGAGCCCAGCTGACGGGCTGGGGGTCCTCGCCTCGCGGGATAGTTACGTGGGAGCCCTTCCCACTGAACTGTGCTGGTGACACACGGCCCTAGATGGAGAGAAAGGACCTACAGTTTTCACGAGAAGAGGAGGGTTTTTATTTGTGGTTTAGTTTTGTTACGTCCATCCTGTGACCTTGGCATTTTGATGAGTCCTGTCGCTGGTCTGGCCGGAATCCTGGTGGCTTTCAGGTGTCTGTCAGTCCTCCAGGTGACTCCTGGGGACCTCAGGTTTCACCTAAAGGGATGTTTCCAAAGGGACGCGAGTCCCTGCACTCAGGAATATTCACCGCCGCCCCCATCCTGTAATTGGAATTGACTCCTTAAACATTCATGTCGCCGCTGAATGCAGGCGGGGCGCCTGCTAACTTTTTAAAGTCCTTTTCCAGACAGCTTGAGATCACGTTTCATTCTGTGCCGTCCGCTGCTGGTGCAGACACACTGAGTTGGCTCCACTTTACTCACTGCCCCTTCAGTTTAAGGCGGCCGGACGCTGTGAGGGTGTCATGCACACCCTGAGTCCGTGAGTCCACGTGGCCCAGACAGCGGCCGCCAACAGGGTCTTCTCGCCTCTCCTGTGCTGCGTGATTTCTTTACCAGCACGAGTTGTTTCCGTTTCTAGCATCAGGCTCTCCTTTACCATTTTCAAAAATAGAGACATTTAATCATTTTAATCTGTGAACACTGCATGTTCTTGCATTTATGAACTCACTTTAATAAAGATAAACTTGCAGTAAACAGCAGAGCGTTAGGATCAGTCTGTCAACTTGGTTGTTTTAAGTTTCCTATTGACATTCAAACCTTAGACCTTAAGTTTGTATCTGTTTTTATGTTAAAATACAGATTCTTGGGTTAGAAGTAAATTGGATATGGAAGTAAATGCACAGTAGTCGTCTGCCCTTGGTCGGCAGGGCTGGGAGCCTGCAGGTGCGTCTGCCCCGCCCCCGCGTCTGCCCCGTAGTGGGAAATTCAGCCTCAGCCTGACGTCCCGCTGCTTATGTTTACACATACGAGAAATGACTAGCGGACGTCCCTTAGAGAAGAAAATTACCATGAAGGTGGACTCTGCAGGTGCATTGGTTTGTGTGATTGCGGTGTCAGGGTCCTGTCGTGCGGGCCCTCGGGAGTCAGCTGGCGTGAAGTGACATCACAGCTGACACACAGGCTGACAGGAGAGCCCGCCTCTGCTCTGAGTTTGGTCATCGCTTTAGAATTTTGGAAAGCTGACTGTTTGCAGGTATTTGGCCAGGTGTGCGCGTGAGCAGCTTTTCTGTACTCACCGCTGATGCGCGTGAAGTAGGGCGGAGACACTCCAGTAGATGCCGAGCACCGATGGCCACACGTGCACCTGCCAGCCAGACGGGGTGTTGCAATAGGCCGTGGGGTTAAAGTGTTCAACACAGAGGCACTTAGTTTTAAAATAAAAAGATTGTTTTTGAAAATTGGAAAAATAAGGTTTTTTTGAAAGCTGACTTCAATTTTGTTACAGTTGATGTATGCTTAACTTTAATTAGTGGAAAGTTGGGGAAATTGTATGTCAAAGAAGTGACTTTAATAAATAATTTCCACAATGCTCTTCTTTAAAACTGATGAAAAGTTCTTAGCAGAGCTCATTAGCACTTTTGTGTAAAAACGGATAACAGGCATTGGAAATTGGGGTCCCCACAGCTCCCCAGGATTATCTGGTAGTTCTAAGCTCCCCAGAGCACCTGGAGGGCAGAGGCCGTCAGGCTGGTGGGACCCACTTGCTGCCCCAGAGCGGTGCCGCGGGTCCGAACGGCAGGGCTTCATTTCATCCTTTTTAACACTCACCTTTACAGTAACCCAGCAGAGGACTTCATGCTGGCATTGACGCGTGTCCGTTAGTCCTCTGGGGAGCTCAACCAAGGGACCGAGTGCCGGTGACTGTCCTGAGGTGACACTAGGAAGTGTGAGTGCCCACGTCGGGACTCAGGGTACCCAGTGGTAGGGCGTGGAAAACAGTGGCCGGCCTTCTGGGTTGGGGGCCTGCGGCAGGAATGGAGCAGCGTGGCTAATGTATTCTGACTGACCGACTGACCACGGGAGGACGGATGGACGGACGGACAGGTGGCGGGATGGATGGGTCCAGTAAAACCTTTTAAAGGCAGCACGTGATTGAGGGAGGCAGAGCTATTCCATTATTCTCAAACATTGGCAGCACGCTGAGAGTTGCCATTTAATTCAGCTGGTATTTGTGTGGTGTCGTGGAGAAGGAATCCCTGACTTCCGATCAGAGCGTCTAGGCTGAGTGTCAGCCTTGCCGGCCAGGTGGCCTTGGGCAAGTCACTTAGGGTCTCCTTTTACAGTAGGGACGCCCTGCCCCCTACCCGCCCGCCTCAGGTTGTCAGGGTTGCACCAGACGGTTAGTGCTGGTCGTGGGACCGCAGACTGCTCGCTGGTATAGAAGCGCCCGAGGGTCCTGGGCGTCATGTGGGGATGGGTCCCAGAGGCAGAGACAGCGACCGGGAGTTCGAGAAGGGCGCGCTCGCTGGCAGCACCAGGAAAGGCTTCGCGCCGACGGGCAGCTTAGTGGCAGAAGTTCAGGAGGAAGAGCCGGCTCGGGAAATCGTTCCAGGAAGAGCAGGTGCTGCTGTGCCGGCCTGCGGGCCACAGCGTTAGGTGGCGCCGGGGAACGCCGGCCCAGGGCGTCCGCAGGCTGCAGGCTGCAGGCCGGCCCCGCGGAGCCTGAAAGCCGCTGAGAGAATCTATACCAGGATGAAACCACCCGTGCTGTGCGTGACCCTCAGATAAAAGGAAATTCTTTTCTGGGCGGACCAGCTTTCTTGCTACAGCGGTTGAGTTTTAATTGGTTTGCTGGGTATTCCGTGGCCGGGGAGAGCCTGGGCTGGCCGAGCCTAGACGGCGGCTCCAGCTCGCCGGCCTCCCTCCCGCCTGCCTCTGGGGTGGCTGCTGTCTCCCACGCGCTGCTTCTCTTGGTGCAGACATGCCAGGTGTGTCTCCTCAGGAAAGCAGGACGTGCCCGTGTGAGTTCCTGTGGCGGCTGTAACGAACCCCCCCGGAGCCCAGGGGTGTGACCCTCACATGGCCTGGGGGACAAAATCACAGTCACAGTGTCACTGGGCTGGTCCCTCTCCAGCCCCTAGAGGCCGCCTGCGCTCCTGGGCTCCTGTTCCCACCTCTTTCCTGATCTGACCCTCCCCCAGGACCCTCACGGTGACCCTGGGCCCACCTGGGTGTCCAGGATGACTTTCCCATCTCATGATCCTCAACTTAATCCCGTCCGCAAAGTCCTTTTTGCCCTGTGAAGTCATGTAGTCACAGGTTCTGAGGACCAGGGCATAGACATGTTTGGGGGACATTATGCCTAACATGGCCCCCCCGGCAGAGACTGTGCCCGCCACACCTCCATGCGCACATGCACTCCCACACTGTCCCTTCCGCGTCCTCTTTTCCTTATTACTGGTGGCGTCTCACCCCATCAGAAGCTCAGGCCCCTTCTCCACCAGCCTCCTGTCCTCTTGCCAGAACCGAGGAACATCTTAGTCCTTATTTGACTTGAAGTCCCATCGCGTCACGTGCCGCCCACCCCTTCAGCCTCCTCCACCCCTCTCGCCAGACCCTGGTACTGTTCCCACAGCACCCCCCTTCTCACGAGCACCCCGGGCACCCTCACCGAGTGACGTGATGTCGTCTCCCTCTCGGCTACTGGGAGGCGGCTGTGCCTTTGCCCCCATCCCGTGTCCATAGCCAGGCTGGACGCTCACCTTCCTGGGGACACCCCCTGCCCCCTCCCTGCTCCTGCGCGTCTGTGTTTCCCAGGCCTTCCTGAGCCTCGGGGCCGTGGAGGCAGGTGCAGGTGGTGGTCACCCCCGTCCCGCACAGGGGCGGGACCTGCAGCCCCTGTGGCCCAGCGACCCCCGTCTGCCTAGCGGAGCCATCGGAGAGCAGGAATGCCGGCCTCTCCTTCCTGTCCCTTCCAGTCCCCTGAAGCCCCCCCAGGTCTGTGGCGAGAGGCTGCCCTCCCCCAGAGCAGGCCCTGCCTGTCACGATCACCCATCAGAAGCCCGTGGTCACGGGCTCCACAGAGGCCTCTGCTGTGGGAACGCTCGCCGCTGCCAGAAATGGTCTCTCTCGGCCACTGCAGGTCCACTGCCTGTGCCCTGGGGGCCCGAACTCTGTGTCCTCGAGGGGCTGAGATAGCTGTCCTCCCAGCCTCATTGCTGCGGTGACAGCCCCGTCCCTCCTGCCCTGCCGCAGTGGGGCCTCTCTGTCCCCTGTGGGCCCCTGGCTGCCCCCACTGACCGGAGAGGCTCTGTTACACTCAGTGCCCCCGCTGGCCCCGCCAGGCCCGGCGACCACTGACCTCAGCTGACGCCTCAGGGGCTGTTCCAGGTTCATGGTTTCAGGCTGTGACGGGCAGTGCCTGAGAACCAGCTTGCTGTCTCCAGTGTCTGCGTGGCTGACTCCCCCTCCGGTTGTCACCCACGCGTCCCTCCCACAGCACGTGTCACCTCCTGACAAGTGGGAACACGGACCAATTGCATATATAGCGCCCCCTGCGGCCAGAAGCGCCTGCAGGCGGAGGTGCGCTTTCTTTGCAGGAGCTGGTGGAGGAAGAGTGGTCGGGGTGCTGCGGGGCAGCCGGGCTGTAAACCGAGGGTGACCATGGCTTGCTTCCCTCCTACAGCTGCCGGGCCGCCGGTACCAACCCGGGTACAATGCGGACGTGGGCGACAAGTGGATCTGGCTGAAGTGACGACCGCCCTCCGCCAAAGCAGCATCGCGGTGACGAGGAAGCTGCCAGCCTGCTGACTCCATGTAGCTTTAAAATCGGGGGTGGGGCGGGGGGATGACCCGAAAGTCGCACTGGAAGGAAGGGCACAAAGCAGCCTGCCCTGTAGTGCAGTCGGGGTGGAAGGAAGCATCTTCCTCTTAAAAGGTTGTGGAATCTTCTAGTTTTATTTCGAATGATGTGTAATTATCACTGGGGAGAAATTATAGCGTCTACTACGGAGACCAGACGACACTGGAAGCCCAGACGACACTGGAAGCCGTTCGCCACTCACCGCTGTGCTGCGGTGCGTGGGGTTTGCACGTTGCTCCTTCAGATGTGGACAAATACAGCTGTTTCTGCGGCCCTCGTCTGCGTTGTCCCTGAGCTTGTGCCGTGCATTTCACACGTGTGTGTGTGCGCGTGTGTGTGTGTGCGTGTGCGTGCGTGCATGAGCAAAGCCCACCCACTGTTTGCTGTGATCTCATTCAGACATATTAAGATTGAAGATGAGTATTTCTGAAACATTTATTCTGTCTGTTTTAGCAATCTGCTGTATTAGAGGAAAGGAAACACCAGAGAGAGGGAGAAATTACCACAGACTTACAGAACGACATCTATGTTTTAAAAGAAATTTTGGGAGCCTCGTGTGGTGGCCAGCATCGGGTGGCCTGGTAATTCCTTCCTCTGAGGGGGGATTGGAGCTTAGGATGTCAACGGGATAAAACGTAAAAGCAAAGTGATACACACACACACACACATATTCTTTATTTTTATTACCTAAAACCCAAGATGTCACCTGAAAAGACTAGTGAGAGAGAAAAGCTCATTTCTTTATTCACCTCTATTGTAAACTTAGAAAAAAGTAAATTTTCTTTTAAGCTAATTGTAGAGGTGAGCACTTCCGTTCAGGAGCTCAGCTGTGAGTTGTGACTGAGCTCCACCCACTGTGTTCAGCGTGAGTTGTGACTGAGCTCCACCCACTGTGTTCAGCGTCGTAGGCGGCTCCTCGCCACACGTGACTGTTCAATGCAAATGAATTAAATGGAGCTTAAAGCTCACTTCCTGGGTTGCACGGGCACCGTTCAAGGGCTCAGGGGCCACATGGCCAGTGGTCTCAGTATTGGACAGGGCGGAAGAGAACACGTTTCCTGTCGGGGAAAGTCCCAGCAGCGCCCCCCCACGCAGCGCCCGCCTGTCCCCCTCGGTCCCTGCCCTCTCCTCTCCGCCTTTCCTCTCCTTCATCCTTTCCGCGCTCTCTCTGTCTCTCCCTGTCACCCCCTCACCTTCATTCGCACCCCCCACTTTGGGTTTTAAGAATTGAAAATAAAGTTTCCCAGCAATTTTCAGCTGGAGTCCGGATGTAAGTGGCTGCATTTCACTCGGAGACGAAGGGCTTGACTGGCTGAGGGCCGCGAGGCGCCGGCCAGCACCATGTCTTGGTCCGTGCGCCTCACAGACCCGTTAAGGAGAGGAGGGGCGGGGGAAAGCGCCCTGAATCTTCTGGGCTGTTGCAGGGTCTCGGCGGAAGGACAGGCTGGTTTCCTCAGCGTCCGCGTGGCGGCGTGTCCTCCGCTGATGTCGGGTCTGCGCTTGTGAGGCCCTTTCACGCGGTGCCGACTCCGGTTCCCTGGGCCCGGCTTGGCGGTGCACCTGGTGGCTCCCCGGGGGAGCGTGCTGAGGGAGCTGATGTCCCATTTTCTGGTGTCTCATGAGTGTTGGGCAGAGAAAAGCAAACCGAGGGTCCGAGTCCCCCAGATCGCAGCACTGGAGAGCTCAGCAGGCACCCCGTGTCCAGTTTTGCAGCGGCGCGTGGTCAGTTATGAGAGAAACCCAGGGTGGGCATAAAGCGGCATTTCTGGACCTCGTGTTGGCATCTTCAGTGCTTGGGATCTGGACTGAAGCCGCTGTACAGGGCCCGGCGTCTCACAGGCACGTAACGTGTGCACTCGTGATGGTTTTGTGTCGAGTAGGAAGCATCCCTTTTTCTCTGAAGTGCCTTTCCGTTCTCTCAAATCGATAAGCAGAAGGCTAAGAACGTTAGCTTCCGAGAGGGCATTACAGTTACGTCCACGTCTGCACAGCGGGGCCGGCCTTGGTGGGCAGCCAGCAGGTCACCAGCCTCACCTGTCCCCCTGCTCGGTGGCCACGGGGCAGCCCCTGACGGCACCGCAGGGCGAGAGCAGGTGTTCAGAAAGCTCTGCTTATGTAGCGCCAGTTCATTCCAGCGTTGGGTTCTGTCACCGCAGAAACGAAGGAAACGCTTGTCTTTCTCGTCAGAGCCCGTGTTGTGTGTCAGAAGCCCCCGCAGTGGGCTTGGGCCCTTCCTGTGCCTGCTTCCCGGTTGCCCGTTTCCGGATTGGTGGTTCCTGGCAACACAGGTGTCCAAACAAAGACCAGGAGACAGCAGCCGCCTAGTGAGGAAACAGCCACGCGCCCACTGGTGCCAGTCTGCGAGGTTTGGGGGGCAGAAAGCTGCAGTGGCTGCCGTGCCCTTGGGCTTTGTGTGGGCAGAGGCCCTGACTGGTCAGAGCTGGGGACCGGAAGCTTGTGCCCGGTGTCCTGGGTTTGACATCAGGAGAGAAAGCGGGGCGCCAGGGGCTTTCCTTTAGGAAAGTCATGAGCCAGGTTCCCAGCCGTCACCCCATTGCAAGGGGTCAGCTAATACTTTGTGCAGTTCAAGTGACGCGTCCATGACTTATCCTGAGAGGTGTCCTCGGAAAGGCTGGGTAGCCCTCGGTCCTCCCGGGTGCCTGGGCTTGGTGTCTCCAACGTGCCCCACTGTGTTGGGGACCCCACCTGATTCTGCAGAGCTATAAACGTCTCCCCAAAGGCCCTAACTCTCTGAGACAGCGTGGTCCCCCGGCGGGCAGCATGGCTGACATCGCAGAAAGAGGCTTATTTAAGGATTCTTCTCACAGGAAGCCAGATGAAACCATCAGGTTTCATCTGTAAGTGTGTAAATAAGTTTCATTTGTCTATACTGCTGACTTACTAGTTTTGAAAGTCTTAGCTACAAATCGCTTTAATAAGAACTAGCGCATTTTTCACGAGTGACGCTCCTTAGGTCCACGTTCAGCAGCTCCCCGGTCCGACTCGGTGGGGGCGCCTCTGGGAGACGTCGGCTTGTACCCTGCTGTCCCATGGCACCCATGTTTTCTAATGAGGCTATGCCTAGTGACCATGTTAAAAAAATTTGTAATTTTTAAAAAGGCGTTTTCCTCGGGTGTGTTTCACGTGGTGATGAAATCTTCCACACGGGGAGTATGTGTGAGTCTTGGTGTACTGCCCATGGGCAAGTGTGCCATCTGAGGGGGTGCAGGCCTGACCCCCAGGGTACCCCACCCCCGGCGTCCAGAGGCTGGGGAAGACAGGGAAGGCCAGCGCGTGTAGCCTCGGACGGGGACTGAGTGCTTGGTGGGCAGCTCCAAGGTGGTGGTGGTCAGGGAAGAACAGAAGAGGAGCAGAGAGCCGGGGTCCCGTGAAATTGTGGGTGTTCTGTAGGGCACCGTTAGCGAGTCATCCCGCCAAAGTCAGTTCCCGTAGGCACTTGCCCCGCTCCTTGTGGAGCCTGCTCCGTTCACGAGGCCCCAGTGGGAAGGGCTGGGACCAGCTGCCCTGCCGGGCGGCTTCTCAGGCTGCACATCACCCCTAAGACTCAGGAAAACGCCTGGGCTGAAGGCAAGACCGCCTCTTCCTGTGGCATCACCGTGGGGGGTGGGGCATGACCCCTGGAGCGTCCTGTCATCCCACGACTCCAGACCCCAGCCCTTCCTCCCAGCACTTGTCCTAGGGAGCCGGCACCCCCCTTCCCTGGCCCCTTCCTGTCCTGCTGCAGGAACGTGGGGTCC